CACGCAGAGCCTGGGAGACAGTGAAGGCGGTGGCAGAAGTCCAGGCACCAGAGTTCTCACACTTCTTGCTACTTACCGCATCATCCTTTTTCTTATTTCCAAAACTTTCTCACAATACATGGCCATGCAGACGGTTACAGATGTTCCTTTTCCTTTAAAAGGAAAAAAAAAAGATGTCTAAACAAGACGAAATGATGTTTATTTCCAAGTGAGTGTTTCTAACATCAGGACAACAGAAGCAATCACCAGGTGTATAAACTTCCTTTTTTCTTGTGGAATTTCAGCAAAATAACATGGAATGCCCGCCCGCCCGCCCGCCCGCCTGCCTGCCCTCTCTCTCTCTCTCTCTCTCTCTCTCTCTCTCTCTCTCTCTCTGTGTGTGTGTTTGCCTATCATCCAAGTTCTAAGAACTATGTGTAAATACTATATATAAACTCTAAACTGTATGAGTGTTTATGCTTTCAGTGTTGTAATATCAATTTTCTGGCAATTAGAAGGGCACAGAAAATCCATTTCTGCTGAAAAAGCAGCATGAGCAACAAACATTGCAATTGCAAGGATTTCCTTTTTGCTGTAGCTGACAAATGCTATTTATCATACAAATAGGGAAAAACAACACAAACTCAGAATTATCACCCCACAAGTTGATCCAAAGCATCTGCCCATACCTGCCGCACAAAGATTGTCTGTTTGATTTTAAATCAGGTTTTTCACATAGAGTCAATCCAGAAAATTCAGAATTGATTAGGATATAGTTGCCATGACATGAGATGCCACCTATCCCCAGCAGCTGTAACTGTGGGAGGACCCCCCACTCCACAAACATTTAAGAAGCTGTTTAAAAAAATGCTGGGCATACATACATATAATATATAGTTATCTCACATAGGTAGCATCATTTTATTGTGGAAGTTGTGGAAATGGGTTGATGGGTTAAGCAAACTTAAAACATGACATTTGTACTCGCTTAGAAACTTCTTTTTTATCATAGTCTGCAAACTCTTGGGGCTTTTATCTTTACTTTTTTGCTTCTTTTTTATAGCAATGCACTAAGGATCAGCTTTTGGCCATAAAGGAAATAAATCATTTTTATTTCTAAGTTTGTTAGGAATAACTCTTAACAGAGCGTTACTAAACATTGTGCCAAAATCAATCTACCTTCCAGCGGAAGGTTTTGGAAAACTTCTACGATATGATACTTGGAATGAAATGACTGGCAACTACTTCATATTCAGAGTTCTGTCCCACTGACACTGCTGGGATTTATTTATGAGAGCCATAAAATGATGTGGAATTATGAAATCCATAGCTGGGCAATGCCTTCAGCAGGACGAATCAAAATTCCACAGACCCTTCAAGTTCTGAAGCTATCTTAATTAGTCTGATGGTACAAAAGGCAAGATAGGGTAGGATGCAGGGAGAGGAAAAACCAGTCAAGAAAAAATTGGCTTGACATAGCCTCAGGAATGTCATTTTAATGTATGAAGTAGCGTCAAATTCTGAGTTTGTACCATAAGGGTACACAAAACCAGCACAACACTATGGCATTGGTTAGGAGGAGATCTCAGATATGTGGGCTCTTTGGCGACGTGCCTTAAAATGGGGCCGGCACATGATGAAGTTGGTGTAATGGCTTCAGTGTTGGAGTGGGGAGCCCCAGGTTCCATTCCGCCTTGGCCATGAAGCTCACTGGGTGATTTGGGGTGCATCAGTGACTGGATGAGTCTCTGCTGCACAGCCTAAGCTACCTGCCTGGGTTGTTCTGAGGATCAACTTAGAGAGCTGGAGGAGCATGTCAACCACTTTGGGTTCCTTGGAGGAACAGGTGGGAGAGACACAAAGCGAACACGTATCTGCCAGGAACTGTAGATTAGGGTCAGTTCGCAGCTAGGTTTTGAGGCTGAAGGAACCAAATAGGGCTGATCCTCATTTCTGAAGTCATAAACCAATCTCATTATCCAAGTCTTTCTTTAGCCCTAAGCAGTACAACAGAGGCTTCTGGTTAAGTGGATGGCAGAACAGAGCAATTTCCTCCTATTCATCTATTCCTTGACTATTCTGGGAGTTTGCTCTGCCCTTTACTCCCATTTCTCTGGAATTCCAGTTTAACCAAGAACATTTATTTTTTAAAAAAATCCCAAATTAGAGTATGCACAGTTTGAGATGTTTTTCCAGCTCCTTCCCTTTGTTCACATGTTCCTGTGCCCCTCTATGCTATGGGACATTGCAAAGCAGCACGCTGGATATGCTTCATATATACAGGAATGCACTACAGAGGAACACTCTTTTGTGTGTGAGATTGTGCTGATAATTTGTTATTCACTCTATTTTAGGAATATAGAAGCACAGAAATATAGAAGCAGAGAAAGTCAGAAGGGGTCTCCCAGGCCATCTAGTCTGACCCCCAGCTACAGCTGGCTCTGTTCATGACATGCCTACCATGTGCATGTCCAGCCTATCCTTGAACAGCCTCACTGATGGGGCTTCAACCACCTCCTGTGGAAGCCCATTCCATACCCTTGGGGTCCTAACTGTCAGGAAGTACTTCCTGGCATCAAAATTGACTGTTGGTTTCCTGAGCTTTGCTCTGTTGGAATGCATCTTGCCCTCCTTTGAAGGGGAAAACAGATCTCTACCCACCTCCGTGTGATACCCCCTCACATAGCTATATGTCACCAACAGATCCCCTCAGAGTCTCCACTTCTCCAGGCTGAAAAGTCCCAGTTCCCTCAGTCTTGCTTCAAATAGCTTTCCCTGCAATCCGGCCACCATCCTTGTGGACCTACGCTGCACTGACTCCAAACCTGGCTATATCCTTCCTGTAATGTGGAGCTCAGAACTGAACACAATACTCCAGTTCGGGCGCACAAGAGTCATAGAGTGGTATATGGGTAGGTAAAACCCATAGGATAGGTAAAACCTATCTCAATCTAGAAGGCATGCTTCTGGCTATGCAACCAAGGGTGGCGTTCGCCCTCTCGACCACCGCATCACACTGCTGACTCATGCTTAGCCTTCAGTCAACCAGAACCTTGAGATCCCTTTCACAAGTGCTGCTCTCCAGCCACTTGTCCCCTAACCTGTACTTATGACACCCATTCCCATGCCCCAGGTGCAAGACCTTGCACTCATCCGCCATGCTGTTGTCCCCTGCCCACTTCAATAGTCTGTCTTCAATAGAAGGATCTGGAGTACCTGCTCCTCAAGTGTGGCTACCACCCCCATTTTAGTATCGTCTGCAAATCTGATCAGAAGACTGGTCACCCCTTCTTCCAGGTCATTGATAAAAAAATATTGAACAGGATTGGTCCCAGGACAGAGCCCTGGGGGACCCTGCTCATCACTGGCTGCCATTCCAATGAATCCCCACTATATATGGGGAATATATATTTTTCCCATATATATCGTGCCTTTTTGTAAGAACTGTTTATACAGCCATCCTTGAGCAAGGCAAGAGTGAATTAGCACCCTCCTGCTCATCTTCCT